AAGGAAACAATTCTGGCATTCCCAGAATGCATATTTCTCTCATCAAGACAAGAATCTAAAGTATGAAAACAATCCTGTAGGAAAGCTTGAAAGTCACAAAAACCAAAAGCCAAGGTTCGGTTCACAAGAAGATATCAACCGAAAGCCAAGGTTCGGTTCACAAGAAGATATCATTCGAAGGCAAAAGTTCGGTTATGAAAAGGACTTCAACCGAAACCAAAGGTTCGGTTCCAAAGACAGTTCCAACCGAACGCAAAGGTTCGGTTCTGAAGTCAAAAGAGAACAAAACTCTAAGGTCATTCCTTCCAATGATCAAAAGCAAAAGGGTCACCTAGAGTCTCAAGCCCGGAACTTCTCTCAATCCAAACCCTCTTGTTCAAATTCTTCTCGTTCTTCTAATTCCTCTTCTCGGTCTCATAATTCTTCTACTCCCACCGATTCGTTTCTATCTTACTCTAAAGCTGATTTCTCTTGTTTTCAAAAATCTCATTCGTCAACTGAGCAAAAGTGGAAGAAAAAGGTCAATGAATCCCAACCAAAATCCAAACCTAATTCACCCAATCCTAACAAAATAAAAGTTTTTACCATTAAAAGGAAAGATGCAACAACTCTTATAAAATTGAACTTATCTTGTTGATGTCTCTCTTATTGTTCCCCGTTCCCATGCAAAGCTCACATGGACCCAAGAAATTTTGGGTTCCTAAATCTGTCTAATTTTTGCAGGTTATAAGTGACGATCAGTTCGACGAAGAATGGTACATCGATAGTGGCTGCTCACATCACATGACAGGGAGGAAAGAGGAGCTTAGGGAATACAGATCTCTTGCAAATGGTGGCAACGTCAAGTTTGGAAACAATTCTTTTGGCACCATAAAGGGATACGGGATGATAACAAATGGAGACTTTACTATAAGGAAGGTGGCTTATGTGGAAGGACTCCAACACAACCTCATTAGTGTATCTCAGCTTGTTGGAGGTACAGGTCTCAAAGTCTCGTTCGATGATGAAGGTTTCTGAAATCATAGAGAAAAAGTCAAAGAAAGTGATTCTCAAGTCAGAGCGAAAGGGTGAAATGTTTCCCTTAAACCTTAAACCCATCAAAGGAAACCCAGCTATATGCTTGTTGTCAAAAGCTCAATCCGACGAAAGTTGGTTGTGGCACCGAAGATTATCTCATCTTAATTTTAAAGATATCAACCGTCTTGTTACTGGAGGTCATGTTAGGGGCCTTCCATTGCTCAAGTTCGACAGGGATCATCTGTGCGCTGCATGCGAAATGGGGAAGCAGAGTCGTCAAAGTCATCCATCTATAATCAACACAAAAGTTGTTGAACCACTCGAATTACTTCATATCGATTTGTGTGGTCCTTCATCTATCGAAAGCATCGGTGGTAGCAAGTATATTCTTGTTATTGTTGATGACTTTTCACGATTTACATGGGTGTTCTTTCTAAAGCTCAAATCTGAAGCGACTCAAAAGCTGAAAGTGTTTATCAAGCAAATTGAAGTACAGCTTAAGAAGGTTGTTCGTAACATCAGAAGCGACAATGGTCTCGAATTCAAGAACAGGGAGTTTGAAGAATTTCTTGCAGAAAAGGGAATTAGTCATAATTTCTCAGCTCCCTACACACCGCAACAGAACGGAATAGTCGAAAGACGAAACCGATCTTTGTGTGAAGCTGCCCGAACTATGCTAAGTTTCGCTTCCTTACCTCTTTATTTTTGGGCTGACGCTATTTCGGCTGCTTGTTTTACACAGAACAGGTCATATCTCAACAAGAGGTTCACGCTCACTCCATATGAGATACTGAACAACAGAAAGCCAAATGTGAAATTTTTCCATGTGTTCGGCTCAAGGTGTTTCATCTTTAATTCTAAAGAACAACGCAACAAGTTTGATGTCAAAGCCGACGAGGGAATATTTCTGGGTTACTCGCTCACATCCAAGGCATACAGGGTCCTAAACAAGCGTTCGAGAAAGATTGAAGAGACATACTATGTGACCTTTGACGACAACTATGTCAAGAAGCTACAGGCTAAAGAAGACATCACTGGGGAAATCTTTCCTCTAAATGGCCAGGTTACAGTCTCGGTCGCCAACTTATTCGAGACATTAATGGACATCTTTGACGAACCGGAGAACGCTTCACTTTCCGAAGCAGGTGCAGCAGACAACAAAGTTGATCACATGGAGCAGATTGTCGAAGACGCTGCAAGGAGAATGCATGAAGAAGCATCAATCTCTAACGACTCTCCTTCCAACGACGCTCAAGTCGAGGGGGAGCCAAGTGCTCAAGTCGAGGGGGAGCCAAGCGCTCAAGTCCAGGGGGAGCCAAGTTCTACAACTTCAACCAAAGAGGTCTCAACACCAGAAAGCTCAGAATCACACGAAACACCTGAACCTCATGTCTTTCAAAGCTCATCAACTGAGGGGGAACATAATGATATGACACTCGGTTACGATAGCCAATCTGAGCCAGACGAAATAATTAATGCTGAACTAGACCCAACCTTTGATCCAAATTACCCTCCTCTTATCAAATGGACCAGAGATCATCCTGTCTCTCAAGTAGTTGGAGATGTCTCTGAAAAGGTCTTGACCCGATCACAACTGAAAGCAAAACAGACTTCCTTATTTTCAAAGGTTGAGTTTTGCATGTTCAACTCATTCGTATCAAAAGTTGAACCAAAGACAGTTAATACTGCCCTCGATCACTCTGATTGGGTTCAAGCAATGCAAGACGAGCTGAACGAATTTGAAAGGAACAAAGTCTGGCGCCTCATTCCAACTCCTCCAGATGCTTCGGTTGTTGGTCTCAAATGGGTATTTAGGAACAAAATGGACAAGGAAGGTAATGTTATACGGAACAAGGCTCGTCTGGTGGTAAAGGGATACTGTCAGGAGGAAGGGATAGACTATGAAGAGACTTTCGCTCCAGTAGCTCGGCTAGAATCTGTTAGAATATTTCTGGCTTATGCTGCTCACAAGAACTTTGAGGTTTTCCAAATGGACGTCAAGTGTGCATTTCTCAATGGAGAACTCGAAGAAACGGTGTACGTGGAGCAACCTCCTGGGTTCGTGAACGAAAGGCATCCAAATCATTGCTATATTCTGGATAAAGCTGTGTACGGCCTTAAGCAAGCTCCGAGAGCCTGGTATGAAACGCTTACAAAATTTTTAAAGATGTCTAAATTCAAACAAGGTTCGGTTGACCCAACCTTCTTTCGCAAAAAGGAAGGTAACCACCTTATGATAGTTCAAATTTATGTCGATGACATCATCTTTGGTTCCACGAATCCTAGCTTAACAGCTGAATTCAGAAAGCTGATGGAGACTAAGTTTGAAATGAGCTCAATGGGTCCTATTAATTTTTTCCTCGGTTTAAACATAAGACAGGGACCCGAAGGCATCTTTATTAATCAGGAAGCCTACACGAAGACTCTCCTAGCAAAGTTTGGAATGATGGGAGACTCAAAAGTCAAAGTCCCAATGGCATTCGGCACCAAGCTTACCCCATCCCTAGACAAACCGGCTGTTGATATCACGCTCTATCGTCAAATGATTGGCTCATTAATGTATCTAACCGCTAGCAGACCTGATATCATGTTTTCTGTTTGTTACTGTGCTCGATTTCAGGCAAACCCACGCGAACCTCACATGCTTGCAGTGAAGAACATCCTACGCTACCTCAAGCGAACCACCTCCTTAGGTCTATGGTATCCATCCAACTCAGGCTTCTTTGTTCAAGCCTATTCTGATGCTGACCTTGGAGGATGTGGACTCGACCGTAAAAGCACAACTGGTGGCTGTCAATTTCTTGACGGGAAGTTAGTCAGCTGGCAATCCAAGAAACAAACGTGCGTGTCGCTATCTACTGCCGAAGCGGAATACATTGCAGCTGCATCATGCACGTCACAAGTGATTTGGATCCAAAGTCAACTTCGAGACTACGGACTCAATATGAAGAAGATCCCACTATATTGTGACTCTGAAAGTGCAATTAGGATCTGTCATAACCCAGTGCAACACTCCAAAACCAAACACATAGCACTGAGGTATCACTTCATCAAAGATCACGTGGAAGATGGAAACGTCGAAGTTCACTTCGTAAGAACCACTGATCAACTGGCTGACGTCTTTACAAAAAGCTCTTCCT